CAGAAAGGTGGGAGATTGGTTATCAGGACTTTGTGATGTTAGTTAGGAAAGCTAAGAGAAGACTGTATTAAAGCAGGGCAGTAGTAGTCAACAATGGTGAATATTGCTAAAGGGTTAAATAAGAGGAAGACAAAGAAGCTACCATTAGATGTGGCAGTGTAAAAGTCATTGGTGACCACTAGGAGAACAGTTTTGGTGTGATGGTGTAGTAGAATCCGTATTTGAGTGGATCAAAGGTAAAGAAGTGGAGGCAACTTTCATAGATCGTGTGTGTGTGTGTGTGTGTGTGTGTAAGATATTTGACTGTGACAGGAAGCAGACTAATAAGAGGGTAATTGATCTAATGGAGGGGACTGGGTCTAGGATGAGTGATGTTAGTTGCTCCTTAGGTGATGAATGTATCTCTATATCTAGTACCCTAAAAATTAAATAACGAAGTCTTTCACTATCATCTCTTATGGAAAATTTACTTTCGGTATATTTATTTTGGGGTTAGGTTTTCAAGAATGCACCTCCTTCGTTATGGCAAGAGCTGTCTACAGTTCCATTTCTTTGAAAATGGAAAACTTTTATATCCTCTCTCCAGTCAGGAGGTAGCTTTGTGCCCCTGAATCTGGCTACTTTGGTTGGATCCTTGTGACTTACTTCCAGACCTTTGGAGCAGGCTACCTACCTCTCCAGTCCTCTGCCTATTTCCTGCTTTTATCATTTCCTTACATGGATCTTGGCCCATCTTCAGTGAATTCTTTCTGCATACTTTGAGACCTCCATGATGCCAACCTGGCTTTCTGGATCATGTTCTGTCACCTGGGTTTTGGGCCTTCTTTGGCCACCTGCTCTGATTTTCCATCCTCATGGCATCCAGGCTGCGGACAGGTTACATGTATAGTGGGTTAAGAGTTCTCTAAGCCTAGGTAGGATCTTTCCCTGTAAAGGTTGCTGTGAGTGCTAAATTAAATACCAGCTATAACATTTACCTAAAACAGAGAAAATTCTAACTTAGTGGTGATTATCTCCAATAGTGACCTAAAGAAATTCTTCGGCTAGCTTCATTTGCCTTCTCAGGTTTGTGATTTCATTTGTGTTATTAAGTCAGCTGGAGTCTAAATAATAAAAAAGGTGATCTTTAAATCTGTCTCACTTCTTCATTTTAGAAATTAATGAACTTTAAACACTCGGTAACACTGTTTTAAGTGTAGTCTGTGACTTAACTCTTTTTTGTAAATAGAAAAAAGTCTTCAAAAATGGCTCCTTGGTCATTCAATTATTTAATCCATTTACCATTTCTGGATTCTAGTAGAATCACATTCTCTAAAGTATAGGGAAGAACACAGGTGAAAGAGGAGTAAGTGATGTGATTAAGAAAGTGAGAAACAAGGGGTGTCTGGGTGGCTCAGTCATTAAGCATCTGCCTTCGGCTCAGGTCATGATCTCAGGGTCCCGGGATCGAGCCCCACTTTGGACTCCCTGCTCGGCAGGAAGCCTGCTCCTCCCTCTCCCACTACCCCTCCTCTCCGCTTATGCTGTCTTTCTTTCTCTAAAAATAAATAAATCTTAAAAAAAAAGAAAGTGAGAAATGAATGTTAGATTTATCACTACATTTTTCTTCCTACTCCCAGAGTTTGCTTCACTCTAGTACTAATTAAATGTTAGGCAAGCTATGCCCAGTAGGAACATAAAAAACCACACATGTAAAAAAAATTTTTTATGAAATTTAAAATTTTCTACCAGTGACATGTACTTTAATAACTCACTTTTTAAAAGATTTATTTATTTGAGAGAGAGAGAGAGTCTGAGCATGGGCAGGGATAGACAAAGAGAGAGAGAGGGAGAAGCAGACTCCCCGCTGAGCACGGAGCCAGACTCGGGCTCAATCCCATGACTCTGAGACCATGACCTGAGCCAAAATCAAGGATCCGACTGAGCCACCCAGGTGCCCTTTAATAATTCATTTTTATTTACTTGTTTTTATCAGCTTTATTGATACATAATTGATCTATCATACAATTCACCCATTTAAAACCTATAATTTAGTGGATTTTAGTATACTGACAGAATTGTACAATAATCAGCAGAATCAGTTTTGAAATATTTTCATCATCCTCAGAAGAAACCCTGGAGCAGTTAGCTGTCACTCGCCATTTTGTGCCAGTCTCCTACGCTTGGCTCTGGACAGTCATGAATCTGCTTTATCTCTTCACAGATCTATCTGTTCCGCACGTTCTCTTTGGCTGTCATTCACAGTGTGTAGCATTTTGAATATGGCTACTTTATTTTATTATTCTATTTTTTTTAAAGATTTATTTATTTATTTGACAGAGAGAGACAGCGAGAGAGGGAACACAAGCAGGGGGAGTGGGAGAGGGAGAAGCAGGCTTCCCGTCGAGCAGGGAGCCCGATGCGGGGCTCAATCCCAGGATTCTGGGATCATGACCTGAGCCGAAGGCAGACGCTAAACGACTGAGCCACCCAGGCTCCCCATGGCTACTTTCTTTTAGCACAATGCATTTGAGATTCATGGGTGTTGTAATGTCTATCAGTAGTTCATTCCTTTTTGTTCCACTGTATGACTACATCATAATTATTCATTTATCTGTTGGTGGAAAATTGGGTCATTTCCAGTTGGGGTGAGTACGAATAAAGTTGCTATAGACATTCTCATATACATTTTGCTGTGAACGTAAGTTTTAATTTCTCTTAGATAATACTTTAGAGGTAGGATTGGTGGATCATAGAACAAGTGTTATATTTAACTTCATAAGAAATTGTCAAATTGTTTCCCCAGATGGCTGCTCCATATTACATTCTCATGGCATTGTATGAGAGTTTCAGTGGTTTTCTATTGTTGCTAGCACTTGGTATGCAGGGTGTTTGCTTTTGTCTGTGCCAGTCCAATAGGTGTAATGGTGAAGCCACATTTTAAAAAGTTTAAAAAGATGAAATTAATTTCAATAATATACTGTATTTAATCCAATGTACAAAAATGTTTATCATTTCAACAAGTAATAAATATAGCAATTACTAATATATTATTCTCTAATATAATGATTATTTCTCATACCAAATTTGGAAATCTGGTATTTTCCACTTACAGCACATCTCAGTATAATTGCTAAATATCCACAATTGAAGTGAAGTAGAATCCTATCAAAACAAAGTTTGGTTTAACTGAAAATGTTTTATACTGCTTCAGTTTTTCAATTTAAGTAGGAATATATTGGAATAAAATAAAAAGGCAATCCCTCAAGTGCACTAACCACATTTCAGGTGCCCCTTAATTACATATAACTGGTGACTAGTACTATTGGAAAGCAGAGGCAGAGATAGTCCCCCATTTACTCTCACCCACAGTACTTGATTGCTTTCCCAATCTCTGAACCATGGGGCCATCTAAGAGGCATAGACTTACTCAAGACTAAACAAGATTTAATGCCACCATGTTGAATTAAGTGCCTCATTTTGGGGATCCCAAAATTGTTATGCTCTAATGATTTAGTTTTTACTCTTCTTGCTTAATCCAAGTTCCTTCCGGGCACACACTATGTCTTTATTCTATTTACCAATGGATCCCCAGCACCTAGAATAGTACCTAGCACACTGTAGTAGGTGCTCAGTAACTGTGCATTGAAAGAACAAAGGAACAAATTAATGTGAAAATACTCTTGCACTACTGTAGTAACACTTGGTCAGAACAAAGTGAGTTTCCTACTGTATATATGTACTGAGTCTGCTGGCACCCCATTGAGGGTGGTCTTACCTGTCTTCAATAGTGAGGCTGGCATCTCACTGAATTTTTACTTCCCACTGAGTTTTGTCAGTGTTAGGGAAACTCTATGTCAATCAGGTGCAGCCAGCTCATAGAACCCAGTTGTGGTCCAGGTAAAGACACTTGCTGAGTGAGAGCATGGGGCAACCTCAGAGGTGTTCCTTCCTGTCATTCGAGACCAGGAGCTATGTCTGTACCATAGGTTCAGGCTCAGGTTCAGTGGTGGATGCAGAGGAAAGTATCCGTGTAATCTCTGTAAGCAAAGATCTAAGAAGAGCACAGTGCAGAAGGCCTAGGGACCAGGCCAGTATTCAGAGAGAGGGCTGGGGTTGGGGAAGGGATAGCATTGCTCAGAATCACAAACAAATACACCACAGAAGAAGTAGGAGGAGGAGGGAGGAGGAAGAGCAGGAGAGGAAAGAAAGGAAGAAAGAAAATAAAAAGCCCTCAGCAGACCGTTTGAGGAGACGAGTGGTCCAAGTCAGAAGCACAAGCATTAAAGGGATGTTGGGGATCGTGTGCTGAGTCTGGAATGTAGGCAGATGTCTTATCCCCGTCTGTGCTCACACAGAGCCCCTGGTCTACACTGTTACACCTGAGACCTCTCCCTGAGAAAGGTTTGCCAGAAGGAGTGCAAAGCCACATCAGCCTCAAGACCAAAGGAACAATAACTGATTGGCAGTGCGAGTGAAATAAACAGAAATAATAGTCCACGCATAGACAACAGCCTTAAATCTGTGCTTTACAAGCCACTTTTATAGACCAGAATGACACAGTTCATACCAAAGAGGCAGGTGTAGGGCTCAGAATGATGCTTCTCCGTGGTTCAGTTTCCGCCTTGTCCCCTGGGGGAGAGAGAGCACAGCCTGAAGGAGAAAGAGAACGCTGGGGCTGACCATAGCTATTGAGAGTGCAGGGGACTGCTCAGTGAATGAAACTCCGGATACTAGACAGAATTGGGAACAGTCTCAGGCAACCAGGACATTCGATTACCGTAGGTGTGTTCTCACTTCCAGGCTGAATTGTGTCTCCCCAATTTCCTAGATGGAAGCCTTCACCCCCAAAGTGACTGCATTTGAACACAGGGCCTTTAAGGAGGAAGGGGAAGTGAAATAAGGTCGTAAAGGCAGGGCCCTGAGGCCTCAGCAGAAAGCAGCACTGTGAGCACCTTGCTGTTGGACTTGTGGCCTCTGGAACTGGGAGAAAATCCATTCCTGTTGTTTCAAGCCACCTCGTCTGTGGCTTTCAGTCATGGCAACCTGAGCTGACTAAGACAACCCCCAAGTCGAATCTGCATTTCCTTGACCAGAGCCCCAATCTGAGCAGAGCAGATGATCAGGACAGTGTTACTGGTGACTCCCTGGCACGTCCTCATTTCAGAGGGATGGTGCTGAAGCGGTCCTGGGGCTGGGATCAGTTTCTGGATCAGGTATTCTGTCTCTGTCCAGAAGGTATTCCTCTTAAAAAAGAAAGAAAGAAAGAAAGAAATGAAAAAGCCAGGCTTCATCAGATATTCAAAGGATAAAATCATGGTTATTCAGTCCCAAACCCTGTTCCAAAAAAAGTCAGGAATTGGAAGGCAGAATATAGAAAGAGCCAGGGGCAAACTGCTGTGACTTTGTACAAGCAAAAGGCCACCTCATGGGAGTGGAAAAAGCCTGTGTTACTGTCTGGATAATGGTACTGACGATCCTCCTCACATTTGTGATGTGAGCTTGGGTACTAAGCCCCCTTAGAAAATGAGTGAGATCCTTTCCTTCTGTTTAAACAAGGTATCTGCCATATGATAGAATATCATAGAGCTATACTGATGTGGGAAAATGTCCATGATAGTGTTAAATATATTTTAAAAAGTAAACTTCACGGGCGCCTGGGTGGCTCAGTCGTTAAGCGTCTGCCTTCGGCTCAGGTCATGATCCCAGGGTCCTGGGATCGAGTCCCACATCGGGCTCCCTGCTCGGCGGGAAGCCTGCTTCTCCCTCTCCCCCTCACCCTGCTTGTGTTCTCTCTCTCGCTGTGTCTCTCTCTGTCAAAATAAATAAATAAAATCTTAAAAAAAAAAAGTAAACTTCACACCTATTTGCATACTATTTTAAGTATATAAACATCTATAGAAATCTAAATATTATCAATATAAATGCATATGCATGGAAGATTTCTGGTAGCACCGATTACATCTGGAGGGGAGACTTAGGGGTGGAGTTAAGGAGGAAGGAGAGAGTTAATTTCACTAAATGCGGATTATAGTTGGTCTCCAGGAGAAGTTAATGAATTCGTCATCTAGTTACAGAAGAGATGAGTAAAAATAAGTGCAATAAAGCATTCTAAGTACTAAAAAAGGAAATATGCATAGGGTTAATCAAGGATATAAAGAAGGGAGTGTTCATTTTTATACAGAATGGTCAGAAATGACTTTTCAAGGAGAAATGATGCAGGAGCTAAGGTTCAAAAACTGGGAAATGAAAAAAGGGAGCAGGGAAGCCCCATATCAGGGAGAGAGACCCTGAGTTAGGAGACATCATGGAACATTTGAGAATCTGCATGTGGTCCTCTAAACCCACTGCAGCCAGTTGAATATATTGGGGGTGGGGGGCAAGGCAGAGAGGTATGGCCATGGATAAAATCGATGAGGGAGATAATAATAAGCATATCTAAAATTTAATGAACAACGTTGAGAGGTAAATATTCTCCTAAGAGCTTTGTCAATACAGAGGGAGGGGAGGAGGTTGAGACAAACCTTGAGGAAAGGTTGAGTAGGCAACGATATCAACTAGTACATCAAGGATCAGCCCTAACAGCCTGGAAAGAGTTCTCTGTTTCTCTCTCTCAGTGTTTTGTGAGTTGAAGAATAACACACACTGTGGCCTGTGGTAGTAATGACAAGGCTGCCAGGTGGTTTATAACCTTGAGAGCTCAGGTCCCATATAGGTTCCATCTCAGGTCCCAAGGTGAGATGGTTAGATTGCCTTTGCCCCGCAGGTAGACCAGAAGTTGCTCTGTGACCATTTTCGGCCAGTGAAGAAAACTTCCTTCACAAGAAGTGACAGGAAAGGACGTTGACCTGGTGCTGGAACCTCCACAGCCCATGGTGGCTGGGTCTGCTACAGCTTCATGATGTTTAACCAGGGAGGCCTAGGGCATCTGGGGGAAAGGACCCACATGGCTGGGAGCCTGGAAGCAGCCTGGGTAAAACAGCCCTTGAATGAAATAGTTCTTTTGAGAGTTGTATAGGTAATTGATTATTTTATTTTTTTAAACATTTTCTTTTTAAATAATCACTACACCCAACATGGGGCTCAAACTCCTAATCCCAAGATCAAGAATTGCATGCTCTATCAAATGAAATAGCCAGGCACCCCTTTTAGGTAATTTGGAACTTCTTTCCTTTGAGATTCCCATCTGGTTCTATCCAGAGCTATAAATAACTCCTTGTGCCTTAATTAAAATGTCCCATTGAATTCACTTTTGCTTTAAGATTAGAAACCAGGCTTTCATTGTTCCATACAATGTGACTTAATAACACATGAAAAAAACTTGCTGTTAAAGTGACCTTGTGATGAAAAAAACTTGCTGTTAAAGTGACCTTGTGATGAATACCAAAATATGTTAGCAGAATAAAAGTTGTGTGAAAATACCAAACAATGAGCAATGAACCCAAAAACCTAGTGTTAGGCATCAGGCCCACTTGGACTCAAATTTTGGCTTTGCCACTTGGCTGGGTTATTGGACTTCAAGCCTCCACAGCTCTGCCATGAATTGGGAGGAATATGTGAACTACCCCATGAATTTTATTTGGAAGAACAATTGAGAGAGGGTATTTAAAGGCCTAGCATAACATCATGCAGAATGTAAGAACCTCTAAAAGAGCTGTATTTCATTACTATTATTTTAAGAATTTATCCCTTCATAGTTTTATCTGACAAGTTTTGCTTGCAAATGTACTCAATGTAATTTATTTTCAGGTGTGTAGTTAAAGGCGATCTCAGGTTTTAATAAATAGTACTCACAGTAAGCCATCTGAAATCCTTTGGGCTTTAAGATTATTTTTTAAAAATCTGGTAACAAAGCACTGACTGTATAGGAATTTATTTTCTTTGTACTTGAAGGGTAGTGAATTTATGTATTACTCATTGCACACCTTAAATGTATGTGAAATATCCCTTTGTACTGATTTGAGTGGTGTGGTATAGTAGAAAAATATAAAAGTGCAGTCACCATATGCCAGCCCATTGTCAGTTTGATCCTTACAGTGCCTCCCTGAACTAAGTACTGATCATTCCACTTCATGAATGAAGAATATGAGGGAGGCATTACATCCTTTGTTCAACGTAATAGGAAGGGAGGTGAGCTGGGATTTGAACCCAGGTCTTTGAGACCATAAACCCCACCCTCTTCACTGTACTGTATGTACTACGTACTGTCAGTAAAATAAAGCGAAAGAAACTCACTAGGCACAGTTACTATGAAGACTGGTGTTAAATAACAAATATTCAACTAAATACATTTGAAGACCTAATCAGCTTTATTACATGATGCCTGATTCAGGCAGCATCCCATCTAGGAAAAAAAAAAAAAAAAAAAAAGGAGCTGGGTTGAGCTGCCAGGAAAGGAAAGGTTTTTAAAGGCAGAGAAGGAAAAGAGAAAAGGAAATTATTAGCCCAGGATGCCTTGTTTTAGGTAACGTTTCCGTCCTGAGGGGAACAGAAGGGGTCTTTCCTTGGATCTCCTCCTAGTACAGAGCAGGAAACCCTGGACTGCCTGGTGAAAGGTCACATTCCCCGGGATTGAAACCTCCGGGAAGTGGGGTGTTAAATTTTGGTTTGCTGATGTGGGGCCCTAATGTAAGTGACTCCATTTGGGGTCCGGTGGATTTCTTTTTAACACGGGTGATAATGTATGTCATTTCATACGGTAAACTTTAAATGTTAGCAATTTTTAAATTCTCATTTCTGAGAATCATAGTAATCTGAAATGAAAAAAAAAAACCAACTAGGAGTGCCTGGGTGGCTCAGTCGTTAAGCGTCTGCCTTCGGCTCAGGTCATGATCCCAGGGTCCTGGGATCGAGCCCCGCATCGGGCTCCCTGCTCGGCGGGAAGCCTGCTTCTCCCTCTCCCCCTCACCCTGCTTGTGTTCTCTCTCTCGCTGTGTCTCTCTCTGTCAAAATAAATAAATAAAATCTTTAAAAACAAAAAAACAAAAAAACCTAATATTTTGGAATTCATAAAATACTCAAGTTTCCAAGTATACCCGGCAATAAAATGCATAATGTGGACAGAGTCAGGGCTAAGAAATTCATAGATACTGACGCATCAGACTTTTAATAAAGCAAAAAGAGGTGTTTAAGTATGGTGAGCAGAGTCCAATATTTAAATTTCTATCTGATGGCACATTTTACCCACTGCTCATTTTGTGTGAAATAAGGAAGAACTGACTGTTCTCTTAGAATTTTTAATCTGCTTAACAAGGAATTTCTGTGTGTCCTTTTAAATGCCTTTCTTATTCAAGAAAACAAAAGTATGTTCACAGTATTTTGTTATTATTCTTTTTATATTTTAATCTTAATGTTTTCCTCTCTGTCTTTACCACTTCTAGCTTGGGTGAACTCAGTGAGTACTTTACATGAGAGCAAAAAACCAATGTCATTTTCAAATACTTCAAATTATGCCAAACAGGATGCAATTTGCCAAATACATTTTAAATGAGAACTATTAGCATTGCTGTGTTTGTTCAACTTCAGAAACATAAAAGTAGCCACACTGATGGTTTTACTCTATACCAAAAAAGTTCAGAGACTGCTAATTAGTGAGTCATCCCCCAAACCCTGTCAAGTCCTCGGGTTCCATCAATGCTAAAGGACCCAGACTAACAGAGAGGAGAGGAGGTATAGGGGAGTGAGGGGTGCTGCTCCCAGTCCGTCTGGGAGTGGGCTTCCCATGTCTATACTGTGTAGAATCCTGTCTGTGTAGCCCCCGCAGATTTCCCAGAGTCAAGGAAAAAACAAGTTTTAGTCTTGCTCAAGGAGCAAAAATAAATCCAGCCTCAACTCATGTATAATTTTGGGTTTAGTCTCCCCCAGTAGGTGAATACAAAGTTAGAACATCTCATTAAGGTTATACTAGGGGATGCGCTTACCCTCCAAAAGTAGAGATATGTCAGTTTTCACAGTGTGCTTGATCTCCGAGTCTCCGACCTCTGACAGAAATCATCACCGCAGCTTAGTTCCAATCTATGACTCATAATTGAAATAGCCAAAGCTCTTTTTTATTTTTAATTCAGTTTGGATTCTGTTGTTACATAAGTCTGTGTATTGTGGAAAATCAGCTAAAATGTTAAGTATTTGTCTAACACATTTTAAATTAGCATTTTCTCCCCTTCTTCCCTCCCTCCCTTCCCTTTCCCTCCTTCTTATCTTTTTTCTTCTCTTTTAGCTCTTTCCTCTCTCTTTCTCTCTCTCCTTC